AAAAAACTGATTGTACTCTCTAATAAAACGAAAAAAATGAATAAAATTCGCAAACCTTTCAAATTTTTTTGAATAAACGAAGTTGATTGACTTATGTCCAAATCCAAATGACAAAAAATAAGTTTTGTTTTAACTTTATTTCTAAAAATAAAAGCAACTCAAGATTTATAAATTTAAAATCAGTAATAAAAACCCATTAAATTATTAGAAGTTTTATCCAAAAAGTTTTTAATAAATTAAAAGAAAAGAAAAAAACCTAACAAATTTAATTACTTTGTAACTTAATTCTTTATGGGCGCCTTAAATTAGATTTCCGATAATTTTCACATTTAAAAATAAGACAAAGTTTTGTTGAAAAAAAATTACCTAATTAATGACGAAACTCTTTATAAATTCTTTCCAATGATAGATTGCATTCAGAATAAGGCAACGGCAGCGATCACGAAGTTTGTCCCATTGAAAATAATCTACAAGAAATGATATCAAGTCGCGACAAAGAATGAAAAAAAACTAAGAGGTGCGAAAACGAACATGCGAGATCACGATCTAGTATTCTCAAATCTCTGGTTCTGATTCTAGCGCTAATCAATCAAGGCCATTCAACATAACGAACCGAACACCCCGAGTCCGCATCGGAACGTAAGGGAAGATCCTTGCGTGTCTTATATCGCTATATCGTCTTTCCTCGAAGACTTAAATCATATTTCTAATGCAACAGAAATCTGATGAATCGCCTGGAACGAAAGTCGCTGTATCTACTTGCCGATATAGGCGTTAAATCGATTTATAGCCCAGTCCTACTAGGAACTATAAATATTTAAATAATTTTTTGAATGGTTTATTATTGCAATCTAGTTTATTCTTGGTATTTTTCTCAAGCTATTTAATAAATTCATTTTAAATAAGTAAAAACTATAAAGCTCTAATTGGAAAGAATATGAATTTCTTCAAGCAATATAATAGTTGCTATAAAATTTTTTTAATTAATGGAGTTTCATTGGTAAAAGATTTTCTAAATACAGTTGAACTTGCTTATAATGAACCCGAAGGGATGCCTATACTTGTTTGTTATAATAAAGTGCTCGTAAAAAGCAGTTTTGTGAGAAAATTTATAATCGTTAATAAATTGTACTTAAGAAGTATTATTTCTGTGCAGCACAGAAGTTAATTTGCTTTGAATTATCTCTTTCTTATGCTAGTGTTCTTCGGATAAGATTCATAGTCAAAAACATCATAGACACTAAAAGGCAATCAGTCTACTCGAAAAACAAAAAGGATTTTCTCCAAGGAGAAATCCGCTGATCTAAAGAGGTGAAATTAAGTATAAATTTTATGAATCGCAAAAATATTGCTCACTGAAATCTGGGTTTGTCCGTTAAAAACGAGTTATTCTCCAATTGACTTAACATTGAACCAACTTAGTTTTCCAATTTTTCTTTTTTGTTAAATTCGTTCTTGTTAAATCAGGACTCATTTATAAGTGAGTTCGACTGTAAGTATTTTATTTTTAAATAATCATAAAATTATTTGTTAAGCTTATGAATTATACCTATGAAACTTCTATTATGAACTTTCACTTATAAATTAGTTTTATTGGGTAAGGTGATATTTTTAGTTATGATTTAAATTGTTTTTTGAAAAAGTTCTGTTTGAAGCATTTTTTTTTCAAAAATGCAGATTGTTATTCTAAAGTAAAAAATCACGATTCATAGTAAATTGTATTTAAGTTAGAAACCATGAATTATTTATGAAAAGCAATTTTTTTTGATTAGTGATATGTTATAATTTATAGGAAGACATAGCAAAGACATTATTGTTTGAATCATCAGCCCATCCTGAAGGGCGAAAAATCAGCCTAACTGATTACGTAAAGAATATAAAAGAAGGACAAAAGGACATTTATTACTTAGCAGCACCCAGGTAATTATATTATAAATAGATTGATTTTTTTTAAATTTATTTTTTGTTTCTATGTTTTTATTTGTTTGAAATTACATATTATATATGTTTGTAAAAATAATTCTTGTAACTATTGAATAGATAATCAGGAATCTGCCCAGACATTTTGTGAAAGGTCCTGTTTTTGTAAAATTGTGAAAAAAGTACTCATAATTTGTGAATATAAAATAAGCATTAAGTCACATTCTTTCAACCAGGGTCCTGCTTTTGTGAATTAGTGCAAATAGGATCCTGTTATTGCAAAATTTGCTAAAAATCTTTTCAAGAAGTTTTTAAATTGTAAATAGATACAAGATTCTGCTCAACAATTGCTGCTACTAAATTAGAGAAGACAAATATTTGGTATTTAGCCTATACTGCTCAACACAGAGAATATTTATTTCGGGCGAATGATGGAAACAAAATCACTCACATTTTTAATAATTTCAATTGACATATTTTAACTAACACAACTTAGTAATGTATCACTTTTAATGTGTTACGCATTAAGTAAACTTAAACAATTCTTAAATTTATAATATTTTATTTAAAAAATTGCCAGAAATTAATTTTTATTTACATAATATTCTATTAATTAATTTTACGAACAAATATAAATTGATCAATTATTTATTTACGAAAGAAAAATTATCATTTATTATCAATAAGAATGTGCACAGCATGTTTGTAAAAGTAAAAAATATTTTCTTAGAATACTACATTTAGAATTTAAATTCAGGAAACTTGGAAAACTCAGTTCGTTGCGAACCATCTTTCTACCCCCCCACCCCCCGGGAAGGGTTTATTCGATTAACAAAACAATAATGAAGATAAACAAATTTGTGAAGGGTCCGTTTTTATGAAAAGATATTTTGTGAAGGGTTGCTTGACAGACCCGAATTTTTTCTAAACAGACCCCTGATAATGAACAGTTTTAAAGTTGGAAAAATTCTTTTTAAATAAAATATGTGACACGAATTATATAATAATTTATAAAATTGTATCAACTCATATTCAATTTTAATAGTTAAGTTAAAAGGATGCAAAAAATGTTTTTAATTATAATATTTTCAAATATTAAGTGAAATTATTTTCACATCATTTTATGCTGCAAATTTCAAAATGCAAAGCTTAATTATTTTAAACTTTATTATTTATTAAAACAAAAATGGATTAGCTTAATCATTTTTTCCGAAGAAATATCATAGATTTAAAAAGAAAATATTAATTTGTTTATTGAAATATCTTTTCTTTAGAAGAACGAATTATTGCTTAACCAGTATAAGAGTAATTTTTTAAAAAAAAATCTTTACAGAATTATTAAAAAACATTTGCTACTATTTCCTTTTTACACTTTGTTTCATCAGTCCAGTAACAGGCATTTGGCCGAATTGCTATGACAACCAGTGTCTCACACGTAGGCTGCTTACAAGGAGCATTTTTTTAAAGAAATAAAGTCTTTCTTTCACAATACAATTTCTTTTTCATTCATTGTTTTAAAAAAAAATTATTTTTTAAAGAATCTAACTATGCACTTGCTGAACTTCAAAATAAGACTGATATAAAAGTTAAAATACTGCTGTGAGTATCCAGTTAACTCCTATTCTCTAAAATATTGTAATTTTATTTATAGGATTGTAAGTTGTCTATTATAGATTAGCCATTTTTTTTGTACCTAAAATGATCTGTGATTATCAATGTTATTTCAGAGGCTAAACATTATACATTATGTTTGGTTTCATTTACAGGTGTCTTATGTTATTCAGATAATCATTTTTTTTTTTAAATTAATGGATATTTTTGTCTGAGATAAAAATTCCTAGTTTTCACTATTAACCCACTGACGGTTCTGCATGTAAAAAGTCGTGTTTTAACGTGTAGTCTTCTTCGCATAGCAAAACTGGTTTTTCTCTTTAACAGATAGGAAGATTGGGGAGAAACATTGTGCCAATTTCGCCTATTTGCTAAACCGCCAGTGGGCTAAGATTGCGTCACCTGAAAGTAGGAAGTGATTAAGTCATTCTATATTCTATTTTCAGATTTTAGTCAATCCTTTTTACCATTTATTTTAATAAGTTCTCAAAATACTCATTATATTCCTATCACTTGATACATAAATTTTATTCACTTGATACATAAATTTTATTCACTTGATACATAAATTTTATTCACTTGATAGATTTTATTCATTTGATAGATTCTTTTCACTTGATTATATAGTTTTGATGCACTTTTAAAATTAGTTGGTTTGGAATGAGTCTTTTTATTTAATTAGGATAATATTTATAATTCTTGAAAATTGAAAACATACGACATTTCGAATTTAGGTGCCGGCCACTAACTATTAATCGTTCAGACTTATAATTCTGTTTCAGTATTTTGGCTCAGTGTCAGCATTTTTCTCCATCAATTTTTTTTTTTACTATATATACCCTATTGCTAAATGGTGTTAAGGAATTTTTTTTCTCTTGTCTTGAATTGTTGTGAAAGCATTGTTTTTCATTTCTTATGCATGTATTCTTATGCATGCATTCTTCTGCATGTATATCTTATCATATATTGCAAAATCGAAAATACTTTTAGATGTCTATGGATGGTGTTTTCAATATAAATGTAAACAATAACAATCTCGAGCACCATACCTGCTCTAGTTCCAGTTAGAAAGTTTGCAACTGCTTACTACAGCTTATTCTGCGAGGCGATATTTTCAAGCAGATAATTTTGTTTTCAATAAAAGAAATAATTGGATATTTTCTGAGCTCAAATCTGCCGTATTCCATAAGATATTATTGTTATTAAGTAATTCTGGTGAGTTTTTTAGTGAAAATTTTGTTTTAGTTATTTATAGATATATTGTTAAAAAAGGTGACATGGTTGCTAGATTTTGAATAACTCGCTTTTTTGGCAGTCCTGATTTGGTCTCTTTCCATTTGTTTATTACTGTTTGTTCTTGTTGCAAGCTGTGCACCATCTTACGTTAGTGTTAACACTTTTAGCATTGTAAACACAAGTATTGTTAGCATTGTAAACGCAAGTAATAAGTAATTGAATACCACGTTTGCAAGAATCTCAAAACACAATGATAACGTTGTGAGCCAAATGGCTTTAAAATACACCAGTAACAGTAACCCGGAAGTATAGGTAGTATGGAGCTTGCAGTGTTCCCTAGTATAGAAAACACCATCCATTTAATTTAAGCAATGGTTAATTATTTTTATTTTGATCTTTGTTTCCTGATTACAATGTATTTAGTTTACCTTTTTTTTATTTGTTTTGCATACATTTATTTTTTAGACCTTTCTTTTTATTTGTTTTGCATACATTTATTTTTTAGTACAGAAATCAAATACAATTTAGTTTTGGCGTTATATATTACTACATAAAAATATTACATCAGTTTTTTTAGTCCACTAATTACTCATTACCAATATATTAATTAGACTTTTGATAAAATACTTATACTAGAAAAATATTTATAACTAGGATTAAATCACTGCAAATGATGTTTACATACATTCATTGTCTCCTTCTAGTCGACAATTAGCTGAAACATCTCCTTACTATGAAGCCATCAAGAGGAAAGACGTTGAAGTTCTTTTCTGCTATGAACCTTACGATGAACTCGTTCTGTATCAGTTGCAACAATTTAATCTCAAGAATGTCATTGCTGTTGAAAAGGAAATGAGGCAAGACAAAGAGGATGCTACATTAGACAGTATAGGTATGTTTTCAATGCACTTCATGAGTCAACACAGGGTTCCCACGGTCCTTAAAACTGCTTAATTTTATTTTGGAGACCCTTAAAAGTACTTTTATTTTGGTATAAGGTTTTTAAAAGTCCTTAATTTTTTAGTATCACTATAGTTGATAGCAGGGATGAGATTCTTCCGCGGATTCGCGGATTTCCGTTTTTTTTTCTCCTGATTTTTCCATTAATTTCCACTGAAATTGTTTTTTGCATAAGTTAAAATATTTTATGAGGAATTTAATTTTCTGCCGAGCGAAATTATTGAAATCCTTATTCCTCCCTCTGAAGTTTCTCTAAAAATCATTTCCTTGGGATAAAACTGGTTGACCTTTATACAGGGATAAGATTTTTTTTGTCTCTCGAATTTCAACCTTTTTATCAAAAACTCCGATTCTCTAAAAGTTTAGTTTTTTTTATAAATATCCCGCTTTTTTTAAAAAAATTCAGTCGTTGAAGTAAAATAATTATATTTATTTGCGATTTTCAAAGATAAACAGAAAATTCAGTCTACGCCCTAGCTGCTAACCGTTCCGCATTTTTACTTAAATTAGCTATTTTCTCCGATTTCACACACAGAAAATAAGATTTTCCGTATTTTTTATCCGTCTGCTGGATAGCTCGTATTTTCATAATTCAGACGTCACTGCTTGTATTCTGGCGTAAAAACAAAAACAAAAAGAAAAAAGAGCGAGAACAAAAATAGAGGTGTATTTGCTGTGAAAATATTTATTTGCTCATTCAATTAATCTTGTAAATTTTTATTTATTATGTCTAAACAAAAGCAATACAAACAAGCCTTTTAGAAATTCGAAGTTCAGACTCTGCAAATATCTAAATTTTTATTCACGCAATTTTAATATCAATCATCGATTTTCGTATTTACCTGATTTAAAAGTTGCGAATTGCGATTCTTATTTACACTATTTAAATATCGTACATTGCGATTCTTATTTACGAGATTTAAAAATCCAATATCGTGTTTTGTATTTATGCATTTTTAAAATCACGATTTCATTATCAATCCTCGAGTTTCGTATTTACCTGATTTAAAAGTTGAACGTTGCGATTCTTATTCAGCGATTTAAATATTGTACATTGCGATTCTTACTTACGAGATTTAAAAAATCAATATCACGATTTGTATTTACGAGCTTTTAATTCATACTCACGCGAGCTTAAAATCCAATGTCGTGATTCGTTTTTGCGGTTGTAATATCGCACGATTTAAAAATTATGCATCGTGATCTAAAAATTAAAAAATCATGATTTGTATTTTCGCATTTTTTAAATTCGATGTAGTTTCATATTTACGTGATTTAAAAGCCTCATATCGGGATTTATAATCACATGGTTTACAAGTTTAAAAATCAAACTTTTTTTGTCAAATTTTTGTGTATATATATTTTTCTTTTTTCTTGCATTTCCTCTTTCTTACTTTCTGACTACTCTCATCCCTGTGATAGGAAGAATTTTTTAAAACGAAATGTTCTTTTATCTCTTAGAATTAGACCATGCATTGAGGATAAAGCATTTTTGAGTGACAAAAATTAATTGGGGAGAGGGGCTACAAGAAAGCATATCCTTTCATTAATATATTGGTTCTTTCATTAATATATTCTGCCTTTTTCCAGGAATGATTTTCTATGAGGAGAGTGAAGCATTCTAAAAGAAAAGAATAGTGTGGGCAAGGGGGATACTGCACATGGAAGAGATAGTGCCTTTGGGAGGGGGGAGTTTTAAGGTACCTACAGATTTCAAGAAATTCAGTTCTACTGGTAACACATCAGCTTATAGAAATTGAGTAAAATGCTAAGAAATGAAGTATCAGAAAAATTTTGAACTAGAATTTATAACAAAAACTATTTCCTAAAATCTTGAAGAATTAAATTTGTATAATATTTCAAACTTCAATGTGTAATAAGTTACTAAATTTATAAAAAGCATAACATCTTTTAAAATTCATGATTGTACTAAAAATTAAACAGATCTGTAAGAAACAGGGTTTGAAAAATGCCAGCCCACCTAGGTTTTTCATCAAAATCCTGTGGTGTGGTGGAAATTTTGATGAAAAGCAAGTTTTTTTTTTTTTTCCCAAAAAGTCTAAAATGTTTTTCTTGAGTACTAAATAAAAAATCATGATTTGCTTCCAACAGGAAAGTTAAATATTTAGTAACTATTTATAATTTGTTTTGTAATTATTAATAAATTAAGTAATTTTTTTTTAAAAGTTTTTGATTGTTACGCTATTATTTTTATTTCTTAAGGATAAGCGTAATGTTTCATAAAAATTTAAATCTACTCAACTAAAAGATCCTTAGATTTTAATAATCGTTTTATTCTGTTAACATTGCAACTTAATATACTGTTTTTAATTTTCTTTCAATTTTTGGTTGCTTTAAAATTAGTTTATGTGTTTCGCCAGATTGTTTAGTAACATTATGTAAAGTTAATTCCTAATAACAGGTTTGGCTGGAAATAAATTTGTTAAAGTTTATCATAAAAGTAAATAGTAAATACATTTGCTGGTCTAGTAGCAAAATATAAGATGTAGAAAGGTAAATAATTGGCACTGTCACTCAGGGTTCCCACTCAATTTCAGAAAAAAAAAATTCCCTGACTTTTCCAGGTATTCCAGGTAAATTTCAATGAAAATCCATTCCATATTTTATCTATACTATGAAATTGTTCATTAGAAAATTTGGATTTTTTTATTTGTTATGCTAAGTATTAGATTTTTTGTGTAAAATATATATCATTACATGAGAAAGGAAGCAATTCAGTATGTCTAATATGTCAAATTTTTACAATAAATAATTGTAATAGATGTTAGAATTATTTAACTCGAATCTCAATAACAGAGTATTGTTATTGACAACTTTAAGATTGTTTTTTTTTTCAGGAATAATGAGGGAATTTTCCAGGTTTTTGTAAGAAAATTTCAACTTTCCCTGACTATTCCCTGATTTTTGGAGTTGAAATAAAATTCCCTGACAATTCCAGGTTTTCCCTGTTCTCCCTGACCCGTGAGAACCCTGCTGGTGGCATATGTTAATCTGATGATAAACAATCATACTATTTTTAAAGTCCTTAATTTTTGCTTTGTTAAAAGAGTGTGAACCCTGCAGTAACACTTTTAATTTTGTTCTTTATTGTAACAGTTGGTGTTGTTATTTGTTTAGATGACTCTTCAATTTTATTATCTTTAGTAATTTTTTAAAATTCTATCTTGCAATGGCTTTCAAAATAAAAAGGCCTATAATCGCCATTCTTTTTCAAAAGTGTTGCTTTAGTTCTATTCCAGCAGAAAAGTATTTTTAAGAAAAAAAAATATTGTAATTCAGAAATCAAGATTGCTGTCATTTATGAATTTGTAAATTGTGGTAGCATGATTTACACTGTAGCAAGTTAAATAAATTATTTTGAAGTTTCAGCCTCAAGTGGGAACAAAATGTATAATTTCAACCGCACATATTTTGTTTAAGTGTTTATTTTATTTAATATTGCTTACATGTTACATTTTAGTTTTAATTCATTGGTCTTTCAAATTGTTTGCTAAAATATTCTTAATGCATTTTACATCATTTTTGTCCCTTTTTTTTAAATTCCTTCTTTTATTTTTTTATAATTTTTTTTTTCAGATGATAACGTTATGTTGAAATCAAGTGCAGAAGATTTGATGAAATGGTTATCTTCACTTTTAGGAAACAAAGTTAACAAAATTGTTGTGAGTTATTGCTTTTCCTTTTCTGATTGTACTGATTTAAGTATAAGATTTCTTTGAAATTCAATTTCTCAGGAACTATTTGACCAATTTTGTTTCAATTTTGTATTTTGTCATAAAAAATTACATTCTTTAAAGATGACGTAAAAATGTGTATGCCTTACAATTTAATTTTTTGTTCGACTATTATTAAATAAAATAGTAAAAAATAGTTATTAAAAGGTATTTTTAGTAGAAATTAATTTTAAAATTTCGCAATTTTTTTTTTGTTTTACTTAAAAAGTTCTCGAGTTATGACAAAATACACAAAAGCAGGGTTCCTACACGGTCAGGAAAACCTGCAAAAGTCAGGCTATTCTAAAATCATGCTAAAAAGTCAGGATTTTTCTTACATATTCATAAAGTTCGGAAAATAAAAAAAAACTATTGTTCATTCAAAGACTGGACAGGCAAAAATAAAGTTTCAAGGAAAAATTCTGTTATTCAAAATATATAATTTCCTCATAATAACATTCCTCTTTCCCTGGTAGAACCTGTCCTGTTAGCAATTTTCCTCCTGTTTATCCAATGATAAGGAATTTTTGATAGGGTTGCTAGGTTTATTGCTCTTTGTGTGAATAACTGGTTTACAGACAATAGTAGCTGAAACAACAGCAGAAACAGGGCCCGACTTAGCCTAATTGGGGCCCGGGGCAAAAACCTCTTTGGGGGCCCCCCTAGCGCCATATGTGCTTAGCTTTAGATGGTCGGTCAACCGTCCATTACTATGTAAAAAAACTTAAAATAATAACATTTATATTGACCTTGAATGATAATGTTTATTTTTAAATCAACAAAATTTTAACATGTTTATTACTTACTCAGTTTTAACCAATATTTACTATTCTTTCAATAAATGAAGAAAAAATTACATAATTAGAAATTCAGTGTAACAGAGGGAGATTATAAATTGTACCGTAATATAACTTTAATTTTACAATTACATACAATATTGTTATGAGACAGAGACAATTTTGCATGACAAGTCAATATTATATCTATTTCTTTTTCAATGGTTTTTTTCTAATTTTACTTTCAGCAAAATTATCAATTATATCATTATAATCAATATTTTTCGTTATATCCGAATTTAAACACAACATAGAAAGTTGAGACAATTTTCTTTGAAGAATGCATGACCTTATGGGCGATTTTAATCTCTTCAGCAATGAAAAGGATCTTTCCCCAGTGCAGTTTGAAATTGGTAATGATAAAAAAATTTGAAGTGCAGTCTCAACATTAGAAAATGATGAAGATAAATTAAATTTTTTTAACATTTTTATCATATCTAATGCAGTCGCCTGCTTATCTACTGGAAAAGAATGAAAATGTTGCAGTTCATCAGGGAACTCCTCATCTAAATCAGAAGGATAGTGCCTTACTAATTCCTCTGCTTTGGTTATTTGGAAATTTGATCCTGTGTTTAGCAAACATGAAAATCTATTTTGTAATTTCTCATATGGAATTTTGCGGTTTGTTAAGTTTGTAATTAATGTGTCACATAACTTGTAGTGACAGTTAATAATGTATTCATCGCGTGGCTCAAGGTTAACTTCATGTGCATTTCCATCATCTAACAGTCTACTTCGAGGTGTAATTTTTTTTCTTTTTGCCTCATACATACTGTTTTCTGGCAAAATTTGCAGCGCTTCATCTTCATATTTGTCAAATTCATTTCGAACTGACTGCACGAAATTTATTAAAGAGTCAAATAATGGCGATACTATCTCTAATTGAGCATTAGAATTTTGCAGAACTTTACTTGCTTGATGTAATCTTTGTAAAATGCTATCCCACACAACTGTATTTAGTGCATTTTCAATCTTAAGTAATTTTTTATAAAGAGCTTTAGCTTCATTTCTAGTGGAAGGAGTTTGGTCTTGATCGTCTGCCAAATAACTCAAAGATTTTAAAACTGAAGCGTAGTTTTGACGCAATGCCTTAGTAGCATTTGCATCAGCACACCATCGTGTACATGAACGATTTTTTAAGGTCAGTTTTTGCTTATTTCCTTTAAAATTATCAATCATAATCTGCCATCGGTATGTTGAAACAGAAAAAAAGTTATATAATTCTTGCAGTAAAGAAAAAAAATTCACAACTCTAATACAGGATTCTACAGCATTTATTCCAACTAAATTCAAAGAATGAGCAGAACATGGTACGTATTCCGCAGTAGAATTAATATTTTTAATTCTTGCTTGAACACCTGAATATTTCCCTGCCATGTTGGAGGCATTATCATAACTTTGGCCCCTGCAATTTTGTATGTCAAGACCTAAATCTTCCAAAACTTGCAATATAACATTAGTTAAACTTTCTGCATTGTGACCAAAAATTTGTATAAATTTTATAAACCTTTCAACAGGTTCATAATCAGGACCAAGATATCGCAAAATTAAAGTTAACTGGTCCATATGGGTAACATCTGGAGTAGAATCCACTATAATTGAAAAATACTTGGCATCTATAACTTCTTTAATAACAACATTCAAGACTTTTTCACCCATTAATTCAACAAATTCATTCACAATTGTTGATGATAAATAATTAACATTGCCAGTTCCTTGATTACCAGCTTTTTCGATATGCTTCGCAAGAAATGGATCAAACTGGGCTATCAATTCAAGGCAACCCAAAAAGTTCCCATTATGAGTTGAACCGAACGTTTCATTTTCCCCAAAAAAAGCCATACCTCTTGATGATAAAAATTTAACTGTTTCAACAATTCTTTGTAATACTGACCGCCAGTAATGTACTTCACTTTGATATTGCTTGATTATTGCAGAATCAATTCTTTTTTCAGTTTTAAGTCTCTGGGTAAACTTTAAAATTGATTCCCTGTGCATAAAAGAATTTTCATGCTCTGTAAGTCGAATGACAACATGCTTCCAATCATCGAAGCCAGATGTTGAAAGGCTAGTTGTTGTATTTCCAAATAATTTGCAAACCCAGCAAAATAATTTCTTTTCTGATGCTGATAATACCAACCATTCTCTTGCCAATTTTTCACCGTTTTTTTTAATTTTAAAAAAATTAATTTTGGTTAAAAGACGTTTGCCTCCATTGAATATTTTCACAGTGTTTTTTACCAGATCCATATTTTGTGGAGGTGGCTTTCTAAGAAAATGATCGATCATATCATCAGTGATAGTGTGCCATTTAGCCGGATCATCAATCGGCACTTTTCGCTGAATGTCCTTTTCAGGTGATAAAACATTTGCGGTAAAACATTCTTGTTCTTGGTGCACTTCATAATCGGCAGCCGGATCATTGATTGGTACTTCCTGTTTGTTATTTTTGGGCACCTCATCTGCAGAAGCACACTCCTGTTCTTCAAGTTCATGGGGCTTTTTATCACCAACATCTTGCAAATTGGGTAACGGTTGCATTTGTAATGCAGGAGAGATTTCCGATTCTTCTATACGTGCAGGAAAGAATTTTAAGATGCTCCCTTTAGCTTTTTCAGCTTGAAGTTCTCGAGCCTTTTTATGTTTCCTTTTCTGGCTCCCAGACATGTAAGACCGCTCCATTTTTTATTGTAGCTTTAATACAGTATAATTAAGAATTTAAGCAAAATAAATTACTCCCTATAAACTATACGATAATAATTAAGCAACTATGTGCATACGTAAGAAATAAACAACCACTTCTAATTTCCAAAACAAACTCTATTTTTAAGGAAAAAGCACACCCACCCACAGAAAACAAATACTATCATCAAAACCTAATTAAAATATTTCAATAAGCTTGGAGAGATACACATAAAAATGATTAAATTCTGCTTTTAATAGATATAAGAATTAAAAAAATAACAACGTGTATACCTAAAAATGTCAGCAAAATGTTTAAGGTTCAGCTCTGCCACCCTGAAGTTATTAATCAAAAAACAAAGCAATTTCATCACCTTGTAACAAAAAATATTTAAATTATTCTGACCTATTTATAAATCTGGCATCACAGTCAATCTAATTTATTATGGGCTAAACAAAAAAGTCAACAATTATGTACAGTATGTATCATAATAAACAATATCTGTAAACAGAAACAGAACTTACTCACCACCTATAAGAATCTAAAGTTTTTTCAAATAAAGAATGACATAGTTTAGCCGAAACTTACCATAAAGTTTACTAGAAGCTCAACACGAAAATCGACCATTAGTACTTAAAGAAATTAAGAAAATGTAAAATGTGTTTCAAAAAGGCATCAAAATCCGATAGACTTACATTTGAAAGCGCGCTACCCGATTGATTGTAAACAAAGATCGTGAAGTCACGTGATCAGTTAAGATACGGTTGCAGTCATCACTGTGCGGTATCATTCGATATTTGGAAAGGGATCCGGAAGATTTTCATAGTCTTGCACATGAAATTAATTAATGAGAAGAATATTTCACATTTTTTGAGAAAATACAACTCATAATTTATTGCTTTGATTTCTCAGTGCTGCGAAAATTCAACAGCAGTTGAGCAGTTGCGATTAACAATTACGATTACTCAATTAAGCCAATCAGAAACCTGTATTTTTGTAAACATATCACATTTTGCGATATGTAAAAATACAAGCTGGAATAGCTGAATTATGTCCTAGGAAGCCATGGATTTACGAAATTTAGATTTTCTGTGCACATACGATAGATTAATAAAGAAGCTAATTTTACACTGAACTGATAATTTGTTTAAAAAAAATTTATTAATGAAAGTAACGTAAAATAAACTTTCTAGTCGATTTGGGGGCCCCCTGATGTCGGGGCCCGGGGCGGCTGCCCCGCATGCCCCTGCCTTTGTCAGGCTCTGAGCAGAAAAATCAGAAAAGAAATTTTTACTGTTTTGTGATGCTGTCAAAAAAAAGAAGAGCAAAAGAGTTTCTTAGAGTTTAATCCACAGCAAAAGAGATTAGATATTTTTTTTTCGAAATATTTGCACGGAGAAAAAAAATGTGGAAATTTGTGGAAGGTTATAAAAATTGTTCTTAACCTCTCTCATGGTAACGCAACAGTCGAAAGGAGGGTTTTCAATCAATAAAAGCTTATTGGTTGAAAATCTCAATGAAGACTCTATTATTTCACAAAGGCGTGTGTATGATTATGTTTCATTTATAAATGGAATAAAAAATATAGACATTAATGAAAGAATGCTAGATGCTGTAAACGGATCTAGAACAAGATGGAGACATGCATTAGAAGCTAAAGAAAAGCAAAAGAATAAAAAAGCTGAAATTTCTAGAAAAGGAATAAAAGAACAGATAGATGATTTGAAATTAAGAACATCTAAATTGAGGAAAACTGCTGCAACAGAACTGGATGTTCTTGATTCAGAAATTGTCAAACAACAAAATATGCTGAGAAATATTATATAACATAGGAGCCCCTGAGTTTCTCTGGAAGCTTACAGTATTACAGAAATAAATTTAAAAATACTGAAGAAAAAAGATATTTTTGATTTTATTGTTCTGTCAAGTTGCATAATTTTTCTATCTGAATTTTTATTTGTATATAATTAACTTTTCTTGACTTTTTTCCCCTTTATATTTCAATATTATCTTTTAAAAGAAAAGTCAGTTTTAAGTGAAATTGTGATTTTTAAAAATTAATATTTTAACTTAACAAATGTTCTAGTATGTTTTAAGAGTAAATATTATTTGAGGATACTGATACATATCTCTCAGATTTGATTAACCCTTTATATCCTGACGACACTCATGCATTAACATTAAATAAAATAATATTTCCATGATCCAACAGATTTTCTTGATCTTTTTATTTAAATAGTTTTCGTATCTAACTACAAAAACACACTAAAAGTTTAATCTAATTATGATAATTAAAAATATGTTTCACAAGTTTTCTGAAAATATAATTTGGGATATAAAATGCTGCTATGCAATTCCACTTTAATATCCTATTCAATCTATTATACTTATGACTAAGTAGCATATTATTACTAATTGAAACTGCAATGTTAAAAGTTGTATTGGAGTGGGAAACGGCCGGTTAGGAATTTTATTGTAAAAGGTCAGAAAAAACCGGCAAAAGTCAGGATATTGTTTTCTCAAAATAGTGTAAGAACCCTGAAAAGGAAAGTTAATATTAGGGGATCCAAACTTTGGCCAACTCTCCTGATTAAACTATTTGCACCATATTTCCCAGATTGCAGCTACCCCCTATATTTTGTATTCTCAGGGTAAGAAATCTAAATCAGTCAAAACAAGGTATGTGTAGTTTGAGAAAGTATTTATTTTTTTTGTTACTTAAGATATCATCTGCACTTAATAATTAACATGTTTGAACATCACCTAACCATTAAGATTGGTTCCTAGCACATAAAAATCCAATCATTAGATCAACATTTTTTTTATTTTTCTTATTTTTGCACTTTGTACATAGGCTTGATCTGATCCTGAGTAACTTCTAGTAATTGGTACCTCAATCCAAGAACGTATACAAATAGAGAATAGTGCCACTTAAAAAGCTTCCTTAGATTAAACAGATTTTCAGATTTTAGTTTGAGATGAATAATTTAGTTGGAATTTATTTTGTAACTATCATGCAGATAAAGGTTGTGATTTCATATATTTGACTAACAAAACTATGGTTTTTCCTCTTTAGAAATTTTGGATGAACACAAAGAATTATAGGGTTTAGGGTGATAAGCGAGTTTCAATTGACTGCTGTAATTTTTTCATATATCTGTTTATTATGGTTAGTTAATAAGGTCCTTTACACATTTCTTTAACTTGTGTTTGTGAGTCGCACAATACCAATATAAAAATAGTGTTTCACACTAATAATGCTTTTGTAAAAGGATTTATATATTTGATTTTTTACATAATCTCAAATCATTATAATTTAGTTTATCAATAATAATTGAAACATTATTGAACCATAAATATACTATTGTGCAATAGAAAAACCAATCTAAATGACAAAAGAAGCAAAATTGAGATTTTATATGTTGCAATTTGTCATTTTTGTATGGTAAACTACATATGGCAAAAGAAATTTTTTCAAAAATCTATTTTTTTTTTTTTTTAAATTTTCTGAATTCTATTTTAGCATTTGTAAGGAAAAAAGTTGTTGTCAAGCAGCTTTTTTTCCATCTCGAATTACATTGTTCTTTTCTTCTTTTTAATTGCTCAGTAGAATTAATCTTATACAAAGTCTAAAATTTTCGATATAAAGATATATAAATGTTTGTTTATTATTTTAGGTGACAAAAAGGTTATCAAATCATCCGTGTTTAATATCTTGTGATGAGATGTCAGCCGCTCGTCACTATGTTCGCACTGCACTCCAATCAATGTCTGAGGAAGAGAGAAACTATCTTTTGAAGCTCACTCTGGAACTCAATTTAAGGTAATTAATCTCATTCATTGTCTCAGGAAGCTCCTTAAGGGGTTAGATTACTTTCATGGGGTGGAAGTAAGCTGATTTTGGAAAATTTTTCTACAAGATACTAGAATAAAACAAAATTTTGAAAATGTCTTATTATATAACTAGTGAAAATTAATTTTTCCCAAACATTTTAAAACAGAGTGGCAATTGTACAATTTTTTCTTCTTCTAGAAAGCAATTCTTTTAAAAGAGATTATACTATCTGATAGGTGACACCTGAAATTTTTAAATCAAGAAAAGTAGTCAAATGCATGTTGTAGGACACAAGAAGTTATGATAGTTAAGAATAAGTTTTATTTCAATTATGCATGAGAATAATCACAAAAGTACATAGGACGTTTTGGACTTAAAATTTTTCGAAACAATCTGTCACTTTTTTTAAATGTTTATAATAAAAATAAAAAAAATCTACACCAAAATGTAACTGTCCTCCATACTTCTTCTTTTATTTGTGTAAATGAGTGGCAGCAATTTTATTACAAAGTGATCAAAAAATACCTTCGTTTTGAATACAAAACAATTATTAATTATTAGCTGTTTTCCCTGAAAATATGAGTTTATTTAAACAAAGTGTTCTGCAACAAATAGAAAATTAAATAATTATACATAAAAGTCAATTTTATCAAAAATGTGTAAGTATTTAAATATATTTTTTTAACTTATAAAATTTGCTCTAATGGAAAAAGCTATTTTTTTCTTTTTGTATTGAAACTTAGGTGTTTAATAAGGGTTATGAAGTTAAGAAAATGCCATGACTGAGTGTTATATTTTCTAACTTCTGTCATCTGTATTTGACTACACATAAATAATATTGGAAAAATAGTGCCATTGCTATAAAAAGAAAGCTATCTATAATTTAGATTTTTGTTTTTGTTTTAATGCCTCATTCGAAATATGTTTTAGACAGAGGTTTGCTAAAAGTATAACATGTTCTATAACAGCAATATAAAATTATTGTTATCTGTTTCGAAGAGGCATAGAAACATGTTACATTGTTATAGCTTCACAATGCAGTTGTTATTTTTTAAACATTGTGTGACAATTAAGCAATTCTAATTCATTTATAAATATTGAGTGTACTTTTATACTCTTAGAATGTTCTTCATAGTTTTCCATTTTTATTTCTTAAAAAAAGAAAAAAGTTATTATGCTTATAAATGCTAACTTGTGAGAAAAAATAATGATAGAAATTGTTTTTTGAGGTGATTTAAGAAAATGTGTCTATATTATTTAATGTGTATTGCTTATTAACTGTGCTAGGATTTTGATGGCATAAAAATTCTTAAAAAAAAGCTCTTAAATGGAAAAAAAAAAAAAATTCTAAAAACCACCAAAAATCAATTTAAAAAATAAAGCCCTACTAATTTTTAAAAACATGTTTAACATTAACTTTTTAAAAAAATTATAAATCAATAGTTGTATTTATAAATTTAAAATAAAGGAACAATTGAAATAAATCTGTGATTTATGAATGTAATAAATTGTAAATAAAGTTGATAAAGATGACTAGGGTAATTTTTATGAATATAGGATAATTATAATGAATAGATATTTTTTGTTACTATCTTCCAGGCCATCAAAATTACATTGTGATATCAAATAATATTTGATAACTGAATGATTGTCTATTGCCTAAAACTTTTTGTAAAATTTGTATTAATTTATAAAGAAAAAATAATTCACAAACAAAATTCCCTTAAAACGAAAAGCATTTTAAAAAAGAAAAAAATCTATAAAATGCCCCCTCCCTCTCTCAAAAAAAAGCACAATTAATGTCCTATAAAAGAAAAAAAGCAACTAAAAATGCAAAAAAAAAAATGCATTTCTCATCAACATAGTAGCCTTGCTTATTAAGTAAAATTAATGGCACTAATTGTTTAAAAAATTTTAGGCAATGCCATGGTGAAACCTGCATGTTTTGATTCTATGTAATCAAAAGCTTAGTGAATTTATTCATTGTTTCTTTTTTAAAAAAAGCAAATAATTGTAATTAAAATTTTGAATTGTATTTACTTACAGCCACCCGATCATGCAGAAGTTGAATACATTGCGTAATAGCAATCCTAAGTTAGCAGAATTAGTTGCTCTTCAAGTAAATTCACTTTTTTGTATCAATGATTATTGCATGATTATTACATATATTACAAGAATCATAAAAAATGGATTAATAGTAGTTTTGGTGGAATTATAAATACTTCCGCTTATATTTATAGAAATAGGATAAATTTTTTATCATATTTTTAAATTGATTAATTCACAAACCTTGAATTATTTCAATACATTAAAAAATAGATCAAGAATAACAAAAAACAATTCATGATCAAAAAATTGTGAATAATTAAAATAATTGTTAATTGTGTAAAATTAAAATAATAATTGTAATTTGTGTTTAATTGTGTAAAATTATAATTGTAAATTGTGTGAAATTAAAATATCAAATGAACAAAACCTTTGCAATCAAACCTTGATCAATCGTTTCCTTATCTTTTGTATCCCTTCTATATGTATCATCTTGTTTTAATGGTCCCGTCACAATTGCTATTCTTATTATAATGTTAATAAGTTCCTATTACGTCGTTTGTAAAGTGAGCAGAATCCTGCATCTTTAGCTCAGAAATCTTATTGACAGAATAATAGAAAAAAAAATGTTATTTTGTTTTGAGGGGAAATACAGTAGCTTCTGATTCTAATGATGAAGAAAATGAACATTTAGTACAGTTAAGGGAAAATGCCTCAAGCATCAGTTACTGAAAATGCTGAAACTTGTTATGTTTTTACTTCAAGATATGGTTATAGAAGGTATAGAAGTACACAATTATGCCGGTAAAGGCAGTAAACTGTAACCACAACCAGTGCCAACATTTGTTGAAAGCTTCAAAGCCTTTGTAACAATGGGGAACCTTCTGTATTTACGCGATTTTACAGAAAATGAACTGCAATTTATTAGAAGTAAAGAAATTTATTTGTTTGTCCTTAGAAGAAAAAAAGTTTTCGAACCAAAAATTTAAAATAAATGTTAATTTATCTTTCTTTTGCAACATAAATATTTTTGCAGTAAGTTCATAATATTTTGAATTTTTGTAAATTTATTATTTTACAATCCTAATATTTTCAAGTCATTAATTCACATTTTCTCGTATCTATCATTTTATATTATAACCGTCCCGTCATTGAACAGCCGACTCAATTTTATGCGTTTATGATGATGGGTTACTCCGTAGCCCTGTAATTTTGAACCCAATCCAGAAGACAAGGGAACTCTTGGATCGAGTAATGAGAGAAATTTGTCTTCGTGGAGGACTTTTTGATGGAGCCAACCAGTACCAGTACTTTCAAAATAATATATATCAAAAATTATAAATTAATAAATTAAAAACAAAATTTTACTAATTGATTAAAATCGAAATATTAAGTGACTTAATGTTTGCTAATATTTTAAAACAAATTCAAACACTAACATATTTCATTCCATAAAAAAATTCATTTTTTCCACGTTCAAAATAATGGCTCATACATTATTAAATAGTAATTCATTATGTTTCTTGTTAATTGTGCATGTATTTAATATAATTTTTAAATACTCTAACTTCAGATGCATTTAATAATACCTGTCTCAAACCGCCAGCTTCTTCACTTGTACAAACTTGCCTTTTGTTGCTTATGGTATTTTTGGACTTAATGAAGCATTTCAATAACTTGTATAAAAAAAACTTTAAATGCAACTTTTTATCCACTCAATTCACTAAACTCAAATTTTTTATCCACTCAAAAAATTGTGAAAAGTTTAAGAGTATAAACTTAGTGGCGTAGAAAGGAATGCAATTCTATAAGCAAAACTCTAGACTAAATATTCTTGAAAATTGAAAAATTTGATTCTATTCTATTGAAAAATTTAATTTCATAAAAAAAAAAAATCATTACAGACTTACATTTTGTGTGTCCGTATTCGCTGAATGGATGTCATTGCCTCTTCTGCATGCCACTATTAGTTAAAGATTACATTAGATTCTTTTTACTAAGCATACTTGTTAGAATCTGAATTTATTAACAATTTAAAAAAAGTGTTAAAAAATATCACCTGCCTTTATAATCTGTAATAAATAAAAAAAATTAGTAAATATCTATAAATCATTACATCCTTTTAATACTGAAGCAAATTATTGAGATAATGTACTTCATTATACAAAATTATTAAAGTTTAAATTTGAACAAAATAACTACCAATATTTATAAAAATATTATTGATACTTATCAACCTTGTGGCAGACAAACCTCTCTAGCACTAATATCTTTCTGAAAGATACTTATAGTAACAAACATGTATGTTACTGATTTAAAATAATAAAAGTGATGTGTTTACAAGAAAAACTATATAGTTTTTTTTAATTGATCATGTAATAATTTTTTATTCTAATATTATAGGCGATATTCTCGAATTTTGTTGGAGGGGGAGCTATTAATAGATATCAGTTTACTAGATATGTATGTAAGTTACTAAATAAAAATTAGTGAGATTTTAGTGTGTAGCATACAGTGATTTTATTAGACTTAGGATTTGGGTTCTTAGTCTTTTGCCCCGTGGCAGAATCACTGCGACATTGTCGCAGAACGTTACAGAGTTCTTGCAGAAAGAATTTTCCTTTAGAAAGTAAAAAATTTTAGTTTTCTTTTCAGCAAAAATTTCGATTATTTTTTCTCTCTAAAATTATATTTAAAAGATGCCTTTTTTGTGCATCAGAGGAGAAAAAAATGTTCTTAATTTTTCAATCCCTATTTGACAAGAATGAAATTATAAAGAACATTGAAGCAAAAAATGTTTTTTCTGCAGAATCGTTTGAAAGATTTTTTTTACCTCCACAATTATACTCAAGAGATACCCTTTTCAAGCATCAGAGGGGAAGAAAATACTCATGATTTTTCTTAATTCCAAAAATAAAAAAATTTTGGTTTTCTTTTCTTCTTCTAATTTTTAATTATTATTAATACTAATTTTTAATTATTATTTTTTTATGTGATGATGATTTGTGAAATGCGAAAAAAGAAATATTTAGTGTGTACAAAATATTTCTTCGTGTTCCTCTTTCAAAATGTGAGAATATCACCCACGATATTAGAATAAAAAATATTACATATTCATTTTTAAAAAAAATACTTTCAATTTCATTATATCCAAATAGGCTTTTCTTTGTAAATACTGTTACTTTAAATTTAATTAATAACATATATATTAGTTATTATTAATAGTATCTTGCAGAAAGTTATTAATGCTAGAGAGGTATGTAGCAGAAAGCCCAAAAAAATTCTACCACAGGGGTCTTTAGGATTTAAATTTCTGGATATCTTTTTAAGTACAAACTGTATTTAAAATATATATTAGACAGAACAACGTTTTTCTAAGCAAGAAAAAAGTTATTAAAAAAAAATTTACTTATAAATTTAAAGTTTAGTTATTTGACTGCATAACTTTGCCGACACACTATTTTGCGCTGGTGAATTACACAACATGCATAATTTATTTTTCGTATTCACTTTATATCTTTTGCCATTTTTGCACATAAACAGAATAACTGCGGATACTTACGTAGTTTTAAAAAGCTTCTGTACCTGTGACTCTGGTACTGCCAACTTAACGTTTTTGGCTTGACCTGAAACAAAGATAGATAATCCATCAAAATATGAAATTGATTGAATCAAATTTTAAGATAACATTTTAGGATAAAAACTTTAAAGTGGAGTCAAAATGGAAAAGTGCTAAAATCAGCTTAAACCAAATTTGTCATGTGTAAGCAATTTAAATAAAAATTAGAAACCAAAAATAAGCAAATTAAAATCCTAAGATATGTATGTTAGCAAAAACAGCATACACATCTTGAAAATTCTGTTTTGCTTATTTTCGGTTTCTAACTTTTCACTTAAATTGTTTACAAATACAGAGATGATTGTGCTCCGGAAAAAATCCAGATTTTATGCTAATTATGATACAGAAGTTTCCAGAAATCCAAGGTCCAGAAGTTTAAGGAATCATCAATTACATTTATGTATACAAATTCTTGTATATTTTATTTAGAATTATTAGGACTAGAATTTATACTTGCCATATTTTTTCATTTGTAAAAATTTTTTCTGGTAGAATAATAAATGTTTTTAAAGATAAAAATAAACTTACATATTCATTTAAATCATGCTGCATAGAATTTATTAAGAATGTCTTGTTTTGAAAAGATCAATGACTTAATTTTATAAGGACATTATTTTTTTGAAATGCATCATCATTAATGATTTCAAGAAATTTTCAAGTGTTTGAGTTGGGCTTACAATCACCCCTGCAAATATAGATAAGTAATAGTTAAATTTCGTAGACAAAATTTACCATCATTCGCAACAAATTTCTAAGAATGATAGTAATATATAAATATACTTTAACACATTATCATTTAATAAACAATTCTTTAAATGCATGTAAATGCATATTGATATTGTGGCTTACCATATGTGCTATGAAATTGATTACATAAATATTATATCATTTTATTTTTTCTTGCAGGTATATGATGCTGCTATGGTGTCTGCTGGTTTAGTAGATGATCCTCGTAAAATTACTGTTCATTTAAATGAGCTATTAGCCATGCTATTAGAAAAACATTGATCTTCATTTCGTAATAATGTAAATAGTTTTTATTTCAATGCAACCATTGAAGAATAAAGAGAAACTTTCCTATTTTATTGTCATGTTGATATTTTTATTAAAAATGACCTGCAGATACCTATTTGTTCTAAATAAATTTTTTTGTCAGTTATAATTTTAAAAAAAAAATTATAACAGGTATAATTAAGGCAGGAGTCGAAATTATAAAAAATTTAGTTCTAAGGGGTAGTAATTAAAAATATACACATTTTTACATTGTTGCTCTGTAACATGTAAAAATGTGTATATTTTTAATTATACACATTTTTAATACATTTTAATTTCTCACAAGATTTTTTTAAAAAAAGAATGTTAGAAAAGAGATTGGTAGTAAAAAATTAAAATACAAGAAATGAGTTAAGTAACAATTATGGTAAAATATGCTACTTTGTGGTAAGCACACCAAGTTGCATATCTTTTTTACATGGATGGTTGGTACAAGACACCACTGCTAATTTATTTGATGTTGATCTGAGTTCTGGATGCATTAAATCACCCCTTACATCTACTCGAACTAAAGAGAAATTTTAAGTGTGTTGATTGGATCATTAGTCAGAATCATCTGTGACATATTATCATTTCATTTTGTTACACTTGCTATTTTTTAGTGAGTTTGCACAAAAGTTTTTTTTTTCTTCCCTAAATTGAAATGTTAAGTTGAAAAATTGTGTTCTTCATTAATTATATATTAAAATAAAACTATTATTTCGAACATTTTTAGCCTACATAGTAGTTTTCGATTAAAAAAGTATTGTAACAATTATTAAATGTATTATTTCTCATGAAGTTAACATCACTCTAATTTTTAGAATGACACTGAAATCACAGTTCAAATGTATTGATCAATTATATTCACCAAGGAATATAAAAACAATAGTTTGAAATTGATATTCATCGAATTAAAATATCATTTAATTTATTTCTCTCAGATAATTAAATTAACTACTCTACTTTACAGATAATTAATTAACTCTTCTAATTAAATTAACTGCTTGTGTACGATTTAGTATTTTACAGTGCTGGAAAAATGTACAAAGCTGAGCTAAAAGTCGCCAAATAGGAAGCACCCCTGTTATGACTGAGCATGCAAATTTATTTTCTACTTGCAAATGTAGAGCCCAATTTCTTTGCATGACGATTTTATTTTTATTCTGCATAATATTTAAATCATGGCAAAATTGACATAATCATTGAAAAAAAGTATTAAGTCTATACTAATTACGTCATAATACATTTAAGCATAAAACATGAGAGCATGCTCATTTAACGAGAACCCGTTTAACTCATTTAATGGTAGACGAATGAGGTAGAACTTTAGTTTGTAAAGAAATGGATTTGAGTGGCTCTCAAATTGCACAAAAAAAATAGGAAGGTCTAAGGCTGCACTGAATAGATACCTCAGAAATTCTAATAACCATGGCAGTAAACAGCGTATTCAGGGTTCCCACGGTACTTGAAAACCCTTGAAAGTTCTTGAATTTTGTTGGGAAAAATAGGGGCTCTGAAAAGTCCTTGAATTCTGTGATAAGGTACTAGAAAAGTATTTGATTTTCCGGAAATTAAAATAACTTATACTTACAAAAAGCACACCAAAATTCAAGCGGAATTTATAGAAATTGAAATCATTGTTCTTCCTTCATTATCCATTTGCTGTTTTCTGAAGAATAGTTAGAGTCAGAAAACTAAGAGTTCAAGACCCATATATTTATTTACCTCTCCTATGATTATGATTGGATGACAAAATACAAGTAAGGTGTGGGAGAAATCAATTGTGAGAAAAAAAATATTGAAACAAGCCATGTCTAGTATTAATCACTGGTTTCATGCAATTTGCTAATTTAATTTCATGAAAAGTTTCACTATCTGATGCCAGTTTTTAAAAGCTAACAAGTATCCTATGTCAATTGGAATTTTTTTTTGTAGTCTTCAATGATATTTGACTATGCATATTAAACAATCTACTACTAAAGCATATTATATAATCTACTATTCAAAGATATTTGACTATGCATATTAAACAATCAAGTTACTATTAAACAATGTAAACTTGATAAATTTAATGAATAATTTTTTTTTGGTCAACTAAGCATTGTGCTTTTAAAAATATAGTATTTCTGCTTCGATGTAATTATAAAATCTAGTTTACATGTATTTTAGCATACTAACTATATTACTGAATAGGACCTTGAAAATTTGATTTTAGGTCCTTGAATTTAAAAAAAAAAATTTGAGTGGGAACCCTGGTATTGGAAGGGGGGGGGGAATGTCAAGGAATACAAATCTAGAAGCATGCTTGTCACAGCAAGATTTCATCTGTACGAATTAAAAATTCGATGCAATTACCATGTAGCAGCTGCACAGGTAGAAATTATTTAAGTACTCTGGTGTAAGAAATGAAGAGAATTTGCAGACTTGGTCGATTATCTCTAGAACTACAGGACCGATTTTAATGAAATTTGATATGTACATACATTGATGGAATTCAAAACAAATAACCATTCAACAATTGTAATAAGCACGCAGGATCGTGCATAACATTCGTTGGAGTCGGGAGGTATGAAATTGCCATTCGACAATTCATTCCAATTGTCACAGGGAATGATAAACTGCCTTATTCCAAGTATGAAATCACGCTGCAAGACCTGTATATCTGCAGGAGGGGACCATACCCCCTATTAACCTATTTTTTTTTGTTGTTTATTCTGCAACCGCTGTTTCATACCTTCCGACTCTAATGAGTATTGCGTATGATCATGTGTGTGTATTACAATTGTTGAATGGTTATTTGTTTTGAATTGTATCAATGTATGTACATATCAAATTTCATTAAAATCTGTCCAGTAGTTCAGGAGATAATCGACCCAGTCTGCAAATTCTGTTAATTTCTTACAAGTTATCAGAACATACAATTTAAAGTTATGGAAGGAAAACCTCTTGCCAAATTACACAGAGATGCTCGTTTAACATTTGTAATCCACTCTATATTTGTAAAAATTAAATAAGGAGGATTCAAAGCATATTTAGAATTATTTCTCCCTGAGAGTTGAGGGGTGAATGGCCTCTGGGGAATTGTGAAATAGTTAAATATTAGATCAATTTTTGACAAGGCTTTGCTAGATTAAAATTTTTTTAAGAATCCAATTTTTTATAATATTTATAAATTGTATACAAAGTTGTTTAGTTTTTTATAAAATTAAGAAAATCCTTATTTTTGAATAAATTTTATTAAGACGGTAAAAACGTATATTGTGATAAGTTTTAAAAATTGTTTAAAATTCAGAAGTGTTTCTCATGATTTGCACTCACAATACGTTTATGTAATGTTACGTAAATGTTTATTTTTGTAATTAAAAATCAAAGTTTTATCCTATTACGATAAAAACTTTCCTGTTAAACTTCAAAACTTAATTTTTTTTTAAAAAAAAAAACCCAAAAAACTACTATTTTTTTTAATTAATTTATCATAAGTTATCTTTATTGAAACTTATTTTAATAAAAATTTCGTCTAAAAATGTTTAATATATTTAAAAAAAAGCTACAATTAATTCAAAAATTTTATTTTGTAAAGTTTCTTTGTGTAATTTATTCTTATAGTGCATAATTATAAAGTATATCACATTTTAAAATTCATCTTATAGAGTTTTTATTTTTAAGCTTGTTTAAATTTTAATCTAACATTGCAAACTTTGGTGTAAAATCATAAATATCTTTCCAGGTATTGAGAGTTCTTTAAAACATTTACAAGGGAGATATTAAGACGTGTTAAGAAGTCAAAAAATAAAATAAAAATTAAGAAACAAATGCTGTAGCACATTAAAGAAAGTTTGCTTTCCTCTTTTTAATTTTCCAATTTTATTTTAACTTTACACCTGCTAAAGTTAAATAGCTTTAATACTTTTGTTAGTATTTTTGATTTTTTTCCCTTTATTATTGCAATTAAAAATGATCTGAAGATATTTATTGAAATAGACCTGATGATTTTATTAAAGAACTAATAATTAAGAGTTAAAAATCTTTGCCCTATTTAATCGTTTTTATCTTATTCATAACCCCTCTTTTATTTGAGCAAATGTATGTTAAAAACATTTGCTCAGACAGAAGAGGAAACTCAAAGCAAGCTACTAAAATTATAAAAATGCATCAAAGAGTTTTTTCTTCCGAAAACGCTAGCCACAGTAAAAAAATGCTGCTTAAATTAATTAAAAAGGAAAGAAACAACAATGTCGCTAAAAATGCGGATTAATCAAATTAAAATCATGTTCCTACTTAATGACTTGTTAATTGTACTTTTAGAATTGAGTGTTTTCATATTCATTCTAATATAATTTAAAAATTGTTCTAAAAATGATTCTAACCTATATCACTATTACCAACAGTAATATTATCATGGAGCGAGAAAAATCGTAACTATTTGATAATGAAAATAACTTGTATAAATGAAAAGTATTACTTACGGATTATGACAGATGAATCGGTAAATATTATGGATGATGATTGCTTCAAATTTTGATGTCGGAATGAGAAATGAAGCCGAACTTTGAGATCGGAATGTGAAGTAATATTTAGTCAGCTTGTGGCGTAACTACCACTGTAAATATTAAATACCAATTCAGTAGTAAATAACGCTTGTTTACTCGATTCCATCTGGAGGTACCTTTTGACAGATGAAGGTTGACTTAGTCGATAACTATGCCCATTCAAGCTTTTGTTGGAATGATAAAAATATGGTGAGTCAAAACTTAAAATCCTCTGGAATTTAAAGAAAAAAAAACATAAATTTACATGTATTTGCATCAATTCCAATATTTTTTGCGCAATGAGTAAACCACGATGCTGATCGTTATTTTGTATTCTACTACTTCCACATTAACTATGTGATTTAAATAGATATGTATTTTCAGTGGATCTTTGTATTGAAGATCGAAGGCCAATAAAAAAAATCTTCAATAAAGCTACTTAGACTTTGACTTTCAAAATGTATTTGTGCCTAAGCCCTGGATTACCTACTCCTATATTAAGCCCTGGATTTCTTAGTTACGCATCAAGGGCTTTACTTGTGTCAACAGTAAATCACAATGGTATATATTTCTGTGAATACTTACTAATGAATAGTATTTTTAAAAAATCAGCATGTATGTGATGTACATTTGACATGGGCTTACGTATCAAGAAACTGACAGTTTGCTCAATTATCTAGGTTATAAACTGCCTTCACCAACTAGACTAGAGTAAAATTGCATCATTTTAAAGAATGTTATTTTATATAGCAAAATACAAGATTTGATAAGAATCGAACGAACAATTCCTGAGAAATCGAATTTCAAAAAAGCCAGATACTTAAAATTCGATTTCTCAGGAATTGTTCGTTCGATTCTGCTTAAATTTTGTATTTTGAAATGTAAAATTGCATATTTTAAAATGATGCAAAAAAGTTATACCTTACTTTTAAACATTTTTTCACCATTTGAACAGTAGACTAGATTTCTGATTCTTGATTATACTGGGAAAACATTGTTCAAGGGATGAGATTCTCTTTATTTACAATTTCAGTGGTATTTTTAGGATCTCTCAGGTGCCCTTTTCAAGAATAAACTCGCCAAAAATAGCAACGCATAATGAACTTAATGAAAAAAGAATTCTAAAAATTATCTAACAGCAGCGGTCGCTATAGCAACGCATGCATATGACGACACATGCGCTCCCAGTCTTGAAACCTGAGAGATTTCAACACAATAAATGCAAATATTTAAAGACAATAATATTTACTCGATATATACAAGGAAAAAAATGCACATTTGAAAAAAAAGAAAATCTAATTACCATCGAATTATACCTAATTACTAATATTAATATAGAATATTTAATACATCGAGCATTATATTAGTATATTATAATAAGTAGATCAAATTATTAGATACACTGCAGTTTTCTTAATAATGACACGATTTGCACGAGTTTACAGGTAATACTTTTATATTTAAACATACATGTAATGGGTTTTTATTCAGGAGATTTTTATATACTTCCTATTTGTATTTATTTTTAACGTATTGCATGGCAATGTTAACCAATTGATACACGAAGTTAAACAAGTGCAAACCGCGTCAAAACAATAAAGCTGTATAAAGTATCACCTGATAATTAAGATTTTACATAAAATCTTAGAGTGCGACCAATAATTTGGCCAGGAACTGTAATACAGTTGTAATGAAATACAGTTATTGAAAATATTTAGATTGTTTTTGTAACTCCTACTGTAATTCTTGGGGTCATCTTGCCTGATTGTTAATTCATTCTAGACATTTTATTGTTTGTTTACATAATGACTTTTCATTTAAATGTTCATTAAAGCGCTATGAATAAATAAAATCTCATTAAAAATTTTCATCCATGTGCGAAAGTAGGCTTCATCTCGCGGCAACTATATTTGTCAAAGCACAAAAGCATCATCTAAAATGCGCTTTTCCTGCGTGCGTTAATAGAGAAAATTAATTCCCTGCTATGAAGAAGAATGTGATGAAAATGTCGAAGAATTTTCCAAATAATCCCCATAGTCCGAACGTTTCATTCTTATCGAGAAGGGCCCTTGTAAAACATGCAACAAAAGGATTTTTACTTCATTATAATATTTTGCCTTGCATCACTTATCGTGAATGCCATCAATATTAAATTTTTTTTTACAGGCCCCCCCTCACTCATTTTTTTTTGTCTCTCTCTTTTCTCATCTCTTGATTATAAATTCAAGACCTCGTCCAAGAAAAAGGGATCTTTTTTTCCTTTCTTTTCTTCCTTTCTTTTTTTGTTGTGATAAATTGTGGTTTCTACATTTTTCCAATACCCGGTATCTTCCGTATTACACTGTATCATGAAATACAGATTAGAGGGACTGGTGTGGCGGCAATGAGTGGATGGGGGGTCGGCAATATAATATGCAAATCTCAGAAGAAAAAAGGGAGGACAGTCCTTTATGAGGGAGTTTTTATCCCAAGAAGAGGACTTCATCTCTCTCGCTTAATGACAGTTTGATGTGTATTACCAACATTCGTAAATCGACCCCCCCCTCCTTTATTTCTTCCCGATTGTGAGATTATTTTTCAGAGAGAGCTCTCCGGTGTCTCGTGGCGTAGATTTGTTTGTAGATTTCCACAAATTTACTTTTTTTTCTTCTTCCCTTTGTGACTGAGATGAAGAAAAATGTTTTTATCAAGAAATTGCTTTTAATTATTTGAATATTTTGGTTTCCTTCCACACTCATATTACCAAAACTAACAATCATTTAAAAGGAAAAGAAGATATTTTAACCCACTAGCAGTTTAGGAAATGGGTAAAATCGGGAGAAAGTTTCTCTCCTGTACACTATTCCTCTATCTATTAGCTTGGAAAAACCGGTTTTGCTATGCAGAGAAGACTGCAGGTTGAAATTCGATTTTTTTACTTGGAGAATCATGAGTGGGTTAAAGTTAAGGACACAGTGTTCATACATTATTATTGTACAGCTATACACAATATCTCACTATGCAATGTCCATTATTTACAGTATAGTTCCACACATTACCTTGTCCAAAGTTATATTCACTATATCACACAATGTCCACAGATTTGGTTCTCTGGTATTGTAGAGTAATATTCATTATAAAATTAGAGCAATGTCCACAGATTATGAGTGGGTTAAAGTTAAGGACACAGTGTTCATACATTATTATTGTACAGCTATACACAATATCTCACTATGCAGTGTCCATTATTTACAGTATAGTTCCACACATTACCTTGTCCAAAGTTATATTCACTATATCACACAATGTCCACAGATTTGGTTCACTGGTATTGTAGAGTAATATTCATTATAAAATTAGAGCAATGTCCACAGATTATCATTGCAGTGTAAATATTTATTATATTACTATGCAGTGTCCATATATTTTCGTTGTAGAGTGATATTCACTATACAGTGTTTACAGATTTTCATTGCACAGTTATACTCATCATAGCACTAAAGAGTGTTCACAGATTATCATTGCAGAATAATCATTATATCACAATACAGTACCCATCGATTTTGATTACAGCCTAATATTCATTATTTCACTATGCAGTGCCAATAGATTTTAATTGCAAAGTTATACTCATTATATCACTATACAGTGTCCACAGATTAACATTGGAAAGTAAATATTCATTATATCAATATGCAGTGCCCATAGATTTTGTTGTAAAGTAATATTCATTATATCACTATACAGTGTTCAAAGATTTTCATTGCACAGTTATACTCATTATATCACTATACAGTGTTTACAGATTATCTTTGTAGAGTAAATTCTCATTATATCCCTATACATTATCCACACATTATCATTATAGAGTAATACACATTAAATGATTATACAGCATACGCAAGTTTTCATTGTACTGTTATACACAATATATCACCCCACAGAGTAATATTCAATATAACACTATACAGTTTTCACAGATTTCAATTGCACAATTATACTCATTATATCACTATATAGTATCTACAGATTATGATTGTAGAGTAATCATTAAATCACTATACAGTATCGATAAATTTTCATTGTTCAATTATGCATATTATATCACTCCACAGTGTCGTCCTCAGATTATTGGTGTACACTTACGCACATTATTCCATTAGACAGGGTACACTGACTATTATGGTACAACCAGATTCATTATCCCATGAAGTTTTCTCAATTTGTTTCTATGTGACTAAAATAAGCAGCAATGTTTTATAGAATTATTTTTGTTCCATAATCGAACATGTATTTTGTGTTTTTTTACTAGTTTTATTTATTAAGACCAAAAATTCTTAAATAATTCATAATACAGACCTTATATCATTCATATTATCTTATAAAACCAGATCCAATGTTTATTTGAATACTATGTTAATTATTATCCCTGAACTGAAAGAAAGTTTGCTTTTTATCAAAACATTTGCACCAAATTATTATTTAACATTTCTTTAAATACTCATAGTATCAAGAGAAACAATATCTTAAGAAATTCAAATTATTAAGTTTGTAATACGATCTCGGTTGAGACATCTAAATATTTCGCAAAATGACAATGGCTATCATCTTTTCTCCTCGAAATGATTAATTCCAAGAACGGAAAGATTATTTTCAAAACAATTATTAACTGGAAACTGCCGACATACATGATCTATCATGAGTTGAATGAAGAAAACAAAAACAGATTTGAAAAAAGAAAAAGTGAAGTCCAACGAATACTAAAATAAAGATGAAAGACGCGAACAACAAGAAAACAAAGCAAATAAAAAGAATAAAAAAACAGCAGTAGCCGCGGAAAACGACGATGGCCGAATAAGGCAAATCAGGAAAGGAGGCATTTTCTAGTGGTATGGAGGGGTGTGGGGAAATAATATTATTTTAATTTATGACATTCATAGGAATGATACAAGACTCCAGAGCACAAAATTAGGCTGATATGACAAGGTTCGAAAGAATTAAGCGTTATCGAATTCAAATTTATGCCCAAGGTTCCAACTAGAGGATTTATCAAATTCTTAAGTGTTTTATTACTCCTAAATGCACAAATTCCAATAAAATTAAAATGACCAAGATAAAATAATTATCAATAACAATTAAATTCACTCAACTTTTTTTTTAACGGAAAATATAATCGAGACACGTAAATTAACCAGAGAAAATGTGTTCGAACTAGTATTATTATTTGGACTAGTATTAAATAGT